GCCCTGTTCACTTTTTTAATAGTTTCTTTTGAGGAACAAAAGATTTTCATTTTGATGAAATCTAGTTTATCAATATTTTCATTTATAGCTTTTGCTTTCTATATATAGCCTAAGAAACATTTGTCTACCCCAAATCATGAAGATATTCTCCCTTATTTTCTTCTGCTTTTAGCTTTTATGTTTAGGTTTATCTCAAATTAATTTTTGTTTATAATGTGAGATGAGGATCAAGGTACATTTTTTTTTCCTTTATGTATATCCAGTTATTCCAGTTCCAGTTGTTAAGAGGACTTTTCCTTTGCCCTATTGGCGTGTTTTGCTGTCTTTTTCAAACATGAAATGATTGAATAAGTGTGGGTCTCTTTCCGGGTTCTGTGTTCTCTTTGATTCATTTACTAATCCGTACGTCAATATCACACTGCTTTGATTACAATGCCTTGATAGTAAGTCTTAAAAATCCGGTTGTGTAAGTCCTTGGTTTTTTTTTCCCCCCACTCAGCACAATGTTTTTAAGATCCATCTATGTTTCTCTGGGTACGTCTCAGCCAGTGGTGTCACTCGAGTTGGTTCAACCCCCCCCCCAACACACACATATACACACACACATTGACCTCCTCCTGTACCAAACTATACAAAATCCTTAGTAATGTTGGTGTAGTGCCTAAGGCATTTGACTGCTAACCAGAAGTCTGGCGGTTCAAACCCAGGTTGGGCAATCTACTTCCATAGTGATACTGCCTCGGAAACCCAAGGAAGGGTTACTACAAGTCAGATCTGACTCAAAGGCAAACACAACAACAATAATCAATTTTAGTAATAGAAGAATATGTGATAAATATAGTTGTAAATTGCTTAACTGTCATATTTTTAGAGTATAATACTAACAAAATTGTTTTTTAAAATCTTTCTATATAGGATTACACTATTATATTATTAATAACTGAGCATAAGCCTTTTTGCTCTTTTTTCCTTTAATTACTACATTATTCTCAAAAAAGTTACTGCCATAGGTTCACAAATGCTAATTACAATACTGTAGCTGAAACACCAGAAAATTTGACAAAATTAGCAACTATAAAAACACTGGCAGCAATAAAACCATGTGATTTGAAGCATCACTGTAAGTGGGTAATAATGACAGCTCTGATTACAGTGCATTAGAAGGTTCCAAAATAAATTAGCATAGAGTTTGAGCCTTAAAGGTGTACCGATACATATAAGCTGGGCTTACAAAAAATGTTTTTGTTTTTGTAACTAACTACATAAAACTTTATGAATAGCAGTGAACACTGCCCGATATGTTACCAGAAAACTTTACGAATAGCCCTGAAACATTGTCCGATCTAGTGCCAGAAGATAAGCCTCTCAGGTCAGTAGGCACTCATAATACTGGGGAAGAGCTGCCTCCTCAAAGTAGAGTTGAACTTAATGACATGGATGGAGTAAAGCTTTCAGGATCTCCATTTGTTGATGTGGCATGACTCAAAATGGGAAGAAACGGCTGAAAACATCCTAAAAATCAGAAATGGAATGTACAAAGTATGAATCTAAGACAACTGGAAGTTGTCAAAAATACAGTGGAACACATCAAGATCAGTATCCTAGGCATTCCAAACCAAAAACCAAACACACTGCTGTTGAGTCAGATCCAACAACAACCCCTCCTTCGGTTTCTGAGGCGGTATCACTATGGAAGTAGATTGCCCAGTGTTCCTTCTAGGAGTGGCCAGTGGGTTTGAACCACCAGTCTCTGGTTGTAAGTCAAATGCCTTGTTGTTGTTATGTACCATCGAGTCGGACCCGACTCATAGAGAGCCCTTCTTGGGTTGCCAAGGCAGTATCACTATGGAAGTAAATTGCCCAACCTTCCTTCCAGGGAGTGGCTGGTGGATTTGAACCGCCAGCCTTCTGGTTAGCAGTCAAGTGCCTTAGGCACTATGCTACCACTATGCTACCAGAGCTCCTGGTTAGAAGTCAGATGCCTTAGTGAGCTAAAATGGACTGTGTTCTGGTTACCAAGTGATGCTCTGACAAGAATGTATTGCAAATGGAATGGTCTTAACAAACAGGAGTTTTATTCTTACAATTTGGAGGCTTTATGTCAGAGTTCAAAGTGCCAGGTTCTAGGGGCTGGGCCTCAACCCCAGCCCCTCAACTCTGGGTTTCAGCTCTGCCTCCTGCTCCTGGTCCACTGAAACTGGAGGCTTGTCTTCACTCAGATGCTGGTTGCTGAAGCTGACATGACAAACCCAAGGTCAACAAGTAACAAGGCATAGTCTCAATGTTATCAAACCACACAGCAGGCCATTAATTCAAGCCCATTAAAAGTCCCAAGATTGGCAAAGTATGGCAGGCTGCTGAACAATGACTCAGCTACACACAGGGTTCAAGCATGCCATAAGCTAGAGACCATTCCTTAAGCTGCTATTTATATACAGGAAGCAGACCACATACCTAAGGCAGCTACTCAGCTGCTCACGGTAGATTCCACCATGGAGTTGATTACCAGTCTCATCATGGGGAATAGTACATCCAGCTGCCTAGCCACTCAACCAGGCTTAGCCAAGTTGACACACAACCTTAACTACCACAGACTGGTTTTGGCCATTTTGAATCAGACAATCATATGGTCTGCTATACTGGGAATGACACTGAAGACGAATGGCTTGGCATTCATCATCCCAAAAAATGTTTCAAGATCTATCCTGAAGTACCATGCTGTCAGTGATAGGATACTATCCATATACCTACAAGGAAGACCAGTTACTACTACTGACTTTCAAATTTATGCACCAACCACCAAAGCCAAAGACAAGGAAATTGAAGAGTTTTACCAACTTCTGCAGTCTGAAATTGACCAAATACACAATCAAGATGTGTTGATTATTACTGGTGATTGGAATGCAAACATCGGAAACAAAGAAGAATCACCAGTATATGGCTTTGGTGATAGGAATGATGTTGGAGATCGTGTGATAGAATATTGCAAGACCAATGACTTACTCATTGCAAATACTTTTTTCAACAATACAAATGGCAGCTATACACGTGGACTTCACCAGATGGAATACACAGGAATCAGATGGAGTACATTTGTGGAAAGAGGTGATGGAAAAGCTCAGTATCTTCAACCAAAACAAGGCCAGGAGCTGACTGTGGAACAGACGATCAACTACTCATATGCAAGTTCAAGGTGAAGCTGAAGACAATTAAAACAAGTCCACAAGAGCCAAAATATGACCTTGATTACATCCCACCTGAATTTAAAGACTAGATTTGATGCACTGAACCCCAGTGACCAAAAACCAAATGAATTGTTGGATGACCTCAAGAATATCATACATGAAGAAAGCAAAAGGTCATTAAAAAGACAGGAAAGGAAGAAAAGACCAAAATTGGATGTCAGCAGACTGAAACTTGCTCTTAAATGGAGAGCAGCTAAAGCAAATGGAAGAAATGACAAGATAAAAGAGTTGAACAGAAGATTTCAAAGAGCAGTTTGAGAAGACATAGTCAGTTATTATAATGAAATGTGTAAAGACCTGGAGTTAGAAAACCAAAAGTGGAGAACATGCTCGGTCTTTCTCCAAATGAAAGAACTGAAGAAAAAATTCAAGCCTTGAGTTGCAATACTGAATGATTATATGGGCAAAATGAGCACAATCAAGTGCTGAAGAGCAGAGATGTCTCCTTGAAGACTAAAGTAAGCCTGACACTTGTTGTTGTTATGTGCTGTCGAGTCAGACCTGACTCATAGCAACCCCTCCTTGGGTTTCCGAGGCAGTATCACTATGGAAGTAGATTGCCCCATCTTCCTTCCGAGGAGTGGCTGGTGGGGTGGGTTTGAACCGCCAGCCTTCTGGTTAGCAGTCAAGTGCCTTAGGCACTATGTTACCAGAGTTCCCAAGCCTGACACTAACCATGGTACTTTCAGTCACCTCATATGCATGTGAGAGCTGGACAATGAATAAGACTGAAGAAGAGTTGATGCTTTTGAGTTGGTGGTGTTGGCAAAGAATGCTGAAACTACCATGGACTGCTAAAAGAACTAACAAATCTGTCCTGGGTGAAGTGCAGCTGGAATGTTCCCTGGAGGCGAGAATGGCCAGCCTTCGTCTCTACTTCGGTAATGTTGTCAGGAGGGACCACTCTCTGGAGAAGGATATCATGCTTGGTAAAGTGGAGGGTCAGCAGAAAAGGGGAAGCCTCTCAACAAGACGGATTGACAGTGGCTACAACCATAGACCCAGGCATAGCAAGGATTGTGATGCTGGCACAGGATGGGACAGTGTTTCATTCTGTTGTACACAGGGTAGCTATGAGTCGAAGCTACAGCAACAACAGGGGTAATTTATGAAAATAACAAATTGCTGCTGAAACACTGCATATAAATTTTATAGACAGTCATTTTGGTATCACCCGTTTCTGACAGTGTCACCTAGTGCAGTCAACACCCCCTGTACTCCCCTAGTGACACCAACTTCATCAAATTGTTAGCAAGTTGATGGTACAGGCACCCTGAGTGTTCCTTATTTAAGCACATGAGGGAATGAGTACAGATTACATTATCGGAGGTAACTGGACAGCTAACTGAATCATAAATGAATTAAGTCAGTGGAAATGATACGGAGTTAGAAGGTAGTCTGTAGTGTCCAAATGCTGGCTCTGCATCGTACTAGCTGCATAAAGTTGGGGAAGTTACTTATGTTCTCTGAGTTTCAGTTTCTTTTTAGAATAGGGGCGACCCATTCTATGATTGCTGTGAAGAATAAACAAGACAATGAAGGTGTAAACTGCTTGCCCTTAGTAGGTTGTCAAGAAATGGTACATTTCTTTCCTTCCTCCTGGCTGGTCCACCTATATAGTCATTCTGCAGTGGCACAGCATGTCCCAACATAGGAACTCTTCATGTATCTGAGATTGGGGGTGACAATAAAAGCCAGGTTCCTGACTGTATGCCATGCAGTTCTTAATGTCAGTTTCTCCCTCTTCCTCTGCAGGACAAAGTGGCTATGGAGAGCATGCCCCTGCTGGGTTTCACCATTGTCCCAGAGAAGGAAGAGGGCAGCAATGAAGTAGGACCAATTTTTCACCTTTACCACAAGAAAACTCTATTTTATAGCTTCAAAGCAGAGGATACCATTTCAGCTCAGAGGTACCAAAATCACTAGCCCTGTACCCCTATGCCTCTCTCTAAAGGAAACAAATTGGTACTCAGGGCTTCAGCTCCTGTTATCCAGCCATCACATCCTATCAAGTCCCTTTAGGCCAAAGCACAACAGGAGAACTGTCTATTCCTGGTCTAAGAATGTCTAGACACATAACTCACTCATACAGGCATGCATTGATTGAGCCAACTTTTGCATTGTGTTCCAGGCCTTTTGCTAAATCCTAGGGAAACAAATATGAATATGACATGGTCTCTGACCTCAAACTAATAATTATTGAGTTCAGTCATGTATAGATTCTCTGACCAGAGTCACAGGCAGAGCCACAAACCAAGTATCCTTGCTTTTCTCTTTTGCAGGTGGATCAAGGCCATGGAAGATGCCAGTGTGTTATAGCAGTTACCAAGTGGGTGGACTTAGAATAAACTCTTACATTGCTATGTGGACCCTTCCATAAGCTGATCCATTTCTCACCACCCCTAGACATACATCTGGATTCAGCATGGGGCATGACCTTTTTTGACAGCAATCCCTGTCTTACACCTTCACAAGTGGAACTTTCAAGGAGTATTTATGGACCTCTCCTTTGTCTTTGTGTTTTCTACTCCATCATAAAGGATTACCTTGTCCAGCAAAGAGTTATGAGTTAGTAACATGAAGACATGGAAACCAATAGAAAAGTACATTTAGAAAGCCAGGCTTACAGTACAAACGAGCTTTTACCATTTTTACACATGGTAAATAGTATCATCTTTCATATTGTTGATTTGTGTGCCTCAGGTGACATGAGAAACCACAAGGAAGTAGCAACCACTCAATGGAAGCACTTTATTGTTTTACTGAGCTACCACTTCCAGTTTTATGTTTTCCAAGTGATTTACTGAAATAAACAACAGGGTCCTGTGGACAAATTGGCCACCAGTGCCATAGCAAGGGTACACGTTAAGTGGACATGGCTTGCCCCGGTCAGCAGGCAATACTTGGAGACCCTCCTGACTTGGGGGCAGAGGGATGGGGACTGTGCTTCCCTGGATAGGAAGGGGAGGGCTTTGTCTTCCAAGTGATCATGCCCCCTGTATCCAGACATAACTTATTAAATGAGAGACTCCATCCTTCCACTGTGTAAGTCCTCAACTCCACACCAGTGACGGGAACTCAGCTGCTGGCAGATCCAGTCCCCCGAGGTCACAACCCTCTCAAGAGTCAAAGTCTACATTAATTTATTCTGTGCCTTCCTGTTGTACCCCACACAAGTGATAACTCTCTGTGTAAGAGAATACTTATTTTAGGCACAGTAATCCTTCAGTGGAGTCCCTGGGTGGTGCAAATGGGTGATACGCTCAGCTGCTGTAACACGTTTGGCTGCTGACCAAAAAGTTGGAGATTCACGTCCTCACAGAGGCACCTCAGAAGAAAGGCCTGGAGATCTACTTCTGAAAAATCAGCCACTGAAAACCCTGTGGACCACAGTTCTACTCCGATACACATGGGGTTGCCAGGAGTCAAGGTTGACTTGATGGCAACTGGTTATTGGTTAATTCTTCAACTGTATTACTGAAGGTTTTATATTTTTTGAGAGATAAAAAGAGAAAGCAAGATATAATCCAAAGGTGAATCTGTGGTCTAGGCAGATAAATGGCTCTGGACACAGTGAGGGAGCACAGAAGTAATAGCTTGAAGATATTCTCTGAGCGCCTGGGGTGAAATCATCTCCTGCTGGTGACTGTTGCTCATTTTGCTTGATTGTTTTTTAAAATAAAGCAGGGGTGTGTGTGGGCGGGATTCCTTGTTACTCTCATTGCAATTAAAAAAAAAAAAGTCATACCACTTCCTGATACCCCATCCTCATCTTCTTGCTGCCCCACCCCCTCAACAAAGGCATTTGCTGATAAACCTTTTGTAAAAGCACCATCTCAAGGAGTTATTTACATTAAATATTTTCAGGGGAAATTTTTTTTCTATTTGCAGATTTCTTTAAATATGTTTGCATTAAACAATTAATGATTTAAAGCTGAGTGATTAGAGAGAGCTTTTTTGTTACTTTTTAGAGTTTAACTGCAATTGAATCATTTTCATCATCAAACATACTTAAATGGTCCTGCTAGATTCTTCTTGTCCCTGGGTGGTGCAAATGGTAATGCGCTCGGCTGCTAAATAAGGTTGGAGGTTTGAGTCTACCCAGGGGCAGGCACCTCAGAACAAAAATCTGCTGCTCTTAGAAAAATCAGTCATTGAAAACCCTACAGGGTAAAAACAACCCTATGGGACACAGTTCTACTCTAACACAAGGAGGGTTCACTACGAGTTGGAGTTGACTTAACAGCAACTGGTGATTTCCTAAACCCTTTAAACTCTTAAAAACGCAGCAAGACCAGTACTAGGCTTGTCACGTGATTCCAAGCATTATCAGTTTCTGAGCACCAGATAGAATTCTAAGTCTGAAAGTCACCCGAATCTGTTTTACTTTGTAACATCTGATACTCTGAGAAGGAGGGGGAATAATGCTTTTATATCTCACTGAATAGTTAACCCTAATAAACAAACACCTGAATTGCAAATAAGTCATACTAGATGAGTATAAAAGGAAACTGGCAAGGACCACTAAGACCCTCCAAAGGGCTAACCTATTCTATCGCAACCTTGTTTTCACGTCCTCCCCGTGGTTCTTGGTATATTCATCTCAGGCTCGTTTCCACTGCCAGATCTGCCTTAGTAACTCTAGTACTGCCATAACACAAATACCACCAGTAGTGGCTTTAAAAAAAAAAACTAACAGTGCTGAAGGCTAGAAGCTCAAATCAGTCTCAGCCATGTCAGTTCCTTCCATGTGCCTCTCTCCTAGTTTCCAATGACTGCTGGCAATGTTTGGCGAGTTTCTGCTTGTAGACAATCCTTACATGGCATCTATGTATGTGTGTGTGTGTGTGTGTGTGCATCTGTTCTTGTCTTTTATAACTCAAAACTGATTAGGTGTATCGAACCTACACTGGTAGGACCTCAACTGACTGATTACATTACATTCAGTTGCATTATGGAAGGTCATCATCATAGACGTCAGGTAGCCGATGTATGGGTGGCACAGTTCATGCTTGACTATTAGTGAAAAGGTTGGTGGCTCAGACCCACCAAGAGGCACTTCAGAAGAAAGGCACAGTGATCTGCTTCTGAAAGTCAACCTTGAAAACTACAGGGATCAGTTCTACTCTGCATACATGGGGTCACCATGAGTCAGAATCCACTCAATGGCAACAACACTACATTACAGAAGAACAACTGATCTAACTGCATGTAAGTGATAGCAACTAGACCAATGTTTGGCCAAACAACTAAAAATCGTAGCCTAGCCAGGTTCATACATAAAATTAACCTTCACACAGTGTGCTTTCTCTACCTTTCTCTTTTTCCAGCCTGCTTCCCATGTCTGTGTCATGCATCTCTGACTGCATGACTGCCTAGAGTAATGAAGAAGCCATCCTCTCTGGTCTGAGGGCAGTCCTTCCCACTGCTCACCAGAGGCTGAGGAATGACTGGCTTCCATGAGGTAGGGATGCTCCAAGACCCCCTACTGTTCCTAAAACAAAGAGCATGTGAGAAAACAGACTGTGCTGGGCCCAGGTGTGGCCCGGAAATTAGAAAACTAGGGCCATAGCAAATCATTCACTTGAGTAGCTCTAGCCCTCAGTTTCTTCATCTGTAAAATGGAGAGCATTCCAGTTTCTCTTAGAGGGTTGAAGTGATAAGGGCCAAACTGAATTGTTTGTGAAAGTGGTCTGAAAACCACAAGCTGTAAGAGAAGCATGTGGCATTATTAGGCAAAGTAAGATAAAAATCTGGGCCCTGCTCATTAACAATACAAAAAACAGTGCTAAAAGGGCAAGGAGGCCACATCTTCTGACCTCTTCTAACTGCACAACAGGAAGAAAGAATCACTATCAGTAGCCAAAGGCCCATTCCTGCAAGGCCAAACATGCTACCTCCCTCCAACCCTTACAGAATTCTAAGCACCTGAGAGAGTGTGAACTTCCCAGAACACTGCTTTGTGCCACTCCCAACAGAAATGACCCAGGTGGATAACTTTTACCATCAGGAGCTCCTCAGTTGCTCACAGCAAATTCCACTGAGTTTACAAAGACTTATAGCTAGAAAAGCCATACCAGGTAATTTACTACACCGCAGACAGTAAACACAAAAAGCCCTGCCTTCTTACCCAAAATGGCAAGTAAGAGAAGGCCTAAAAAGGGCCTGGCACAGTTAGGCTTGACTCCTTTGGTCACTGGATCTTTTCTTCCCTTTTGTTTGTTTTTAATTACATCTCCCTAACCAGAAAAACACAGGCAGGGATAGCCTCTGCCTGCTTCATAAAATTAGATTTTACAAAAATGAAGATTTTTCTGAAAGCAAGCAGCACTTACTTTAAATACTTCACTCCTTCCCTCCCCTTCCCTGCATTCTTCATTTTCCCAACCTGAGGTGCTCTTTTTTTTCTTTAGTATTTATTTTTGTTAGGAGCTCTGGTAGCATAGTGGCTAAGGCACTTGACTGCTCACCAGATGGCTGGCGGTTCAAACCCATCAGCCACTCCTCAGAAGGAAGGTTGGGCAATCCTACTTCCGTAGTGATACTGCCTCGGAAACCCAAGGAGGGGTTGCTATGAGTCAGGGCTGACTCGACAGCACATAACAACAACAACAACATTTATTTTTGTTGGCAATATATACAACCAAACATACCTCCATTCAGTTTTTACATGAACAGTTAAAATAACACTGGTTACATATATCACATTGCATCACCATTCTCACCATCTCTACTCATATAGTTTGTCATCATTAATTTAGGCTCCCTGTCCTTAAAGTTGTCATTTGTGCTTTAACTTGTCAGTTTAAACTTATAGAGATAATTCTTTATAATAGAATGCTATGCTGAAGGCAAACATTATCGAGCTAAACTGTTGTTTAGTATCAGCTTTATGGGATAATTTCAGTCCAAGGTTTAAAGATTATTTCTAGGAATCAGATTCAGGAGTTCCTTCAGTCTCGATGGATCCACAAAGTCACGTTTCTATATAAGCTTGAAGTGCTGTCCTACACTTCTCCACCTTTTGATCAAGGTCCATTTGTTGAGTCCTTGATCAAAAATGTTCATTAGTGGTAGCAGGGCACCATCCATTTCTTCTCATCTCATGGTAATGGAGTAGTAGTTTATGGAGGCAATTAAACTTACAGTTCATTTCTGTCTCCAATTCCTGTGTGTCTGTCTTCTCTACTATTCCAGGTGAATACAGACCAATCGTAACTTGGGTGGCTGTTCACAAGCTTTTCAGACCCATGGAGCTACTCACCAAACTAGGAGGTAGAACAGAAATTCTAGAAACAACATTAGGTCCATTCTGGATG